AACCACTAACCGCAATTCTGTTCATCAGAGTTATCTCCACAGTCATCGTCTCCGTCACAAAGCCACATTTTCTGGACACATCGTTGATTGTTGCACCTTAAACGTAACACCTGATATAACTACACCATCAAGGTAAATGAGTATGGCTTGTGGGAACAATATTAAAATAATTCGCAGTGGCGCGCTACGGTATAACGACGCCACGACCATTGACTTTTAATATCTCCAGCTACATCAAAGAAAAAAGCTACGTAAAATAGTTCCCAACTAGAAGTGTCTACGAAGGTTATGCGAGACATTTTTAAGCAAAAGAGACTACAATTCAGACGTGTATGGGGCACCTTCACTTACTTGAACTCATTAGGTTCACACTGTCTTAAAGCTGGACAGTTCATTTCATCAGATCTGTCTCTACAGTCAGGTTCACCATCGCAAACATAATCAGATTTCACACATTCGTTGTTTCCACAGGCGCGCTCATCGGCCATACATTGCCCTGATGAGGGCAGTTGGTTTTGCAAATCTTGCGGTCCATCTAAAAATAAAGCAATGATTTTGTTAAGAACATGAGGGAGAAAGGAAAAGGGTAATAAGAGAGAAAGAAAAGAAAGATAAGAAGCGACACTTGCAAGCGGTATTCTATAAGGATCGTGAGAGGAATAGCGAAATAAAAGCTGACAACGGCTATAGCTAAAAGTTTCTGCTCGGCTAGTTTCGCTGATGATAGATATGGTAAAACGGTTTAATAGAGGTTCATGAGGGTTACACTCTAACTTAGCGCAAGGCAATTTTTCAAAAATTCTGCAAACTACCGAAAACCTTAGAATTTAAGAAATAGCGTAGTTACCGATATTGTTTTCCGAATTGACGAGTTGCTGATGGTGCAGGCAGATAGTTTCCAAAAAAAAGGCAAGTGATTTTTGAAAAAAAACAAGCTATAAAAATTTCGCGAAATGTCGATGTTTGATGTGGATACTTGTGATATCAACAAGGTTTTGATAGCTTTTGAATACAAGGAGCTAAAGAAGCGGAACAAAGAGTTAAGATCTACCATCTCACTGCGCAGTCTATCAAGGTTTGCGGCTTACTTTAAGCTAATGACTATCAGACGAGCAGCCGAAGATTTACCTGCTTAATTTACCTTACTCACCTTTTTACCTACAAACCACAGCGTGCTATTTGGAATTTCTAAGTAATTATGCCTTCTGACCGGTTAAAGGGAAGAACATGCGTCAGCCAAATATTTGAAAGTTCGAAAAACCAACAAGGTCGTAGTCTGAGCCTCAAAAGGACAATCACGTACACATTCCATCTCTCGATCAGCGGGAGAGCGCGTTCCGGTATAATGCGTACAGTTTAAAATTCCTAACCAACAGCGAAACCGCGCGAGATGTGCGGAAAAAATTGTCGTTATGTAGGACGAAAGTTGCATTGGCGGAAGTTTCAAGTGGATTTTGCTTTAGAGAACTCGTGCAAGTAAAACATAAAACATAAAAACGTACAGGACTGCACATGAAGCGTGGCTCGAGCCTCAACTGTTCTTCCACTGTGTGTAGCTGTGCAGATGTATTCACCAGAATCGGACAGCGATACCGAAGAAATAGTAAGTCTACCGGAAGCATCATGGGCATGTGGAGCCAAAGCGCCACCAACACGACTCCACCTAAAAT